AAATTGCTTTCAAAGTGGGTGCCGCGTTTGCTGTTTCACGAAGGCAATGCGCCGCGTCATAAGTCGATGAACACGATGGTTCAATTGAATGAATTACGTTTTGAATTGTTTCGCCACACACCGTACTCCCTAGATTTGGACCCCAGCGACTACTGGCTCTTTGCAAATATGAAAAAAATGCTCCAGGGAAAGAATTTGGCTCAAATGAAGAAGTGATTGCGGAAACTGAAGCTTATTTTGGGGGTAAAGACAAATCGTTTAATATAAAGGGAATTGAAAAGTTAGAGGAGCGTTGGAATCAATATATCACACTGGAAGGAATGTATATTGATGATTAAAGTGGATTTTGTACAAAAAAAATTTGTTTTTCTTAGTTAGACCGGAGACTTATTGAGTGACGTGTTATGTTTTGTACATGGCAGACCTGAGGAAATTCTATGAAATGTCTTTCGCGTTTGGAATTTGTGTGGGATTCTATGCTTGGAAACGTAGAGATTTTGGGTTTTTAAGTTTTTAAAATAATTATTGAATTTACTTATTTATAAGACACTAAGTTTTTAAGTTGTCAATTTTCAAAATTCTAAATTTTTAAGTTTTCACATTTCCAAGATACTACATTCTTAAGTTTATAAATTTCCAAAATATTAAATTCTTAAGTTTCAAAGTTTTCAAAATACTATATTTACGAATTTTCAAATTTCTAGTGTATCAAATTCTTAGATTTTCAAAGTAACAAATTTCCAAAATATAAAATTCTTAAATTTCCAAAATACTAAATTTACGAATTTCTAAATTTCCAGAATGCCAAATTTGTGAATTCCAAATTTCCAGAATACCGAATTTTCAGGTTCCCAAATTTCCAAAATACTAAATTTCAATATTGCAAAATTTTCAAATTTTCAAATATATCGAATTTCCAAATTTCTAAATCCCTAAACCCCTAAAATATCAAATCCCCATATTTTCAAATCCCAAATTTCCATATCACTTATTTACTCCAAATCAATCAGTGTGAAATATACATTTAATTAATTTGAATCATTCTAAATGTATTTTGTTACAAATATCTCATTTTTCATTTATTTTTCATTTATTTTTTATTTATTATTAATGAAACTACTCATTATATTTTACATAAGCTAATATTCTACGAACTTTCTATATTTTAATTGATTCTTTTTAAATCAATTCTCAATTAAAATCGCTCAAATATAATATTTGAAATCTTCTATGGTCATGCGGATCGCTCATGAATTTTCATCGACATAAAAGAATTCAGGCTTTCACTTTCCATTATGTAACATCCTTATTGTCAGTTTACGTGCAGCGGAAACTGAGTTAAAAACTGTATTATATCGTGAATCAGTAGAATATTTTTCAATTTCCAATTTAAATCAAAGAGAAAATATAAAAAAATAACATATAATTTTTACTTTCCAATGAAAATATGTTCAAACATATTAAATAAAACAAAGTTGTTCCAAAAGTAATTAATGCAGTATTAATTAATTAATAATTAAAAGTATAATAGTAGCAAAAAGAATTAATTTTTGGTTAGAACAAATCCTCGAATTTGCAAATTCACAAATTACTTTCAAATCTTTAAATTCCATAATTTTTAAACTCCTTTGAATGTTTAAAAATGAAATTATCCGTGATTATAAATAGTGACAATACGTCTGTAGCCTATTATATTCATTCTCAATCTACTATAATAATGTAGATAATTAGAATTATTTCTAGAAATAATATTGATGTAGAACTACTTAATCATACCTAACAGAAGTACTTAACCATAACACCATTTTTTAATTAAAACTCATATTCACCTGTTTAGATCGATTGTGAGAAAACACCGCAATGGACCGAATTCCGCTCCTTCAACTTCATCCCGAAAATCGAAATGAAGTCCGTCTACATCCGCATGTGCAATCTGCCAACAAACTCGAGCCTCGGTGAAATCGTCAGCATGTTCGGCACAAAAAACGTCGACAGATTACTGTTTCAATCGTACGGCAACATGAGCAGCAACCTGAACAGGCAGCATCTGAAGGATTTTCCGAAATTGAAATGGTTGATCTTATCCAGCAATGGCTTAACGAATCTCAGCAGTGACCTGTTCGCGGACGTTCCTCATATAACCTGGCTCGATTTGCGGGAGAACAACGTGCGTTTGTATCCAGGAATTTTCAACAACACTCCGGAACTCCAGGTGTTGGAACTAGGCAACAATATGATGAGCCAAATCGAACCGAACGTATTCGACCCACTGACCAAGTTGGAGTTGCTGAATTTGTGGTTGAACAAGTTCACCGAACTTAAACCTGGCATATTCGACAAACTGGTGTCTTTGACTTCTCTGGATTTGAACTCTAATTATCTGACCACCCTGCCCGAAAACATTTTCGCGAAATTGTACAATCTGAAAACACTTAGTTTGTACAGCAACAACTTCACCTCCTTCCCGGAGGGTCTGTTCAGATACAATGTGAAATTGAAGAATATTAATTTATCCAACAATAAAGTGAACATGACACTGCCGAGAAGGTTCTTCGCCAATTTGACGCAACTCGAGGTGCTGAAATTGAGACGCGATGGGTTGATGACCTTGCCTGAAGACATATTCCGGAACTGTTCGTCCTTGAAGAATCTTACCGTGGACAGCAATTATTTGGTATCGCTACCTAAACGCATATTCGAGGGACTGCATGAACTGTTGGAGCTGGATCTCAGTTTTAACAGACTGATTTCGTTGCCCGATGGAATTTTTTTGGATGCGACCAAGATGGTATACTTGAACTTGCAGGGAAACCGGTTCACTTCGATTTCGAGGCACGTGTTATTTACATTTTCTCGTTATTTTTAGTATTTGTTTAAAAAGATGTTTGGAAATACTGTAATCTAGTCAGAAATGTAATCTCTTATATTGCTGTGAATGAGCTGTCATATGTTTCTCTAACTTCTAAAATATTTTTACAATGTAAGATTCCCATCATTTTTAAGATATTTTTAAAATATAAGATTCTCATAATTTTTTAAGTGCTTGTAGAATATAACATTCCTATAATTTTTAAAATATTTGTAAAACATTCCCACAATTTTTAAAATATTTGTAGAATATAATATTCCCACAATTTTTAAAATATTTATAGAATATAACATTCTCAAAATTTGTTAAATATTTGTAGGATATAACATTCTCAAAATTTTTAAAATATTTGTAGAATATAACATTCTCAAAATTTTCAAATATTTGTAGAATATAACAATCTCATAATTTAAAAAATATTTTTATAATATATTTTGTAACTTCTAAAGTATTTTCATAATTACCGAATATTCTTGTAAACAGTATTGTAAAAATTACAGGGGCCTCTTCAGCAACTTAAAATCGCTGACATTCTTAAATATGGAGGGAAATCAGTTACAAACCATTCAAGATAGGAGTTTTAGTTCAATGACAAATTTACGGATTGCGAAGTTTTCTAACAATCAGCTCACGTTCTCCTCACCTTTTGAAGACGAATTTGGAAAGAAATCACCATTTTATGATTGCACATCTATTGAAGAATTGCATCTGTCTCATAACAATATTACGGAGATATTTGGGGATTGGATTATAAACGCTTTACAGCTACGTCTATTGAATCTCAGTTATAACAAGATACCTTATATAACGGTAAGTTACAAAGTTGTACTCTAATTTTTAATTTTTAAATCTACAAATTAAAAAATGTCTTAACAATACATTTCCAAATTAAGAACCCCCTATATTTTGTTTGCTATACTTTACTTATTTATTTACAATTGATTTCAGACCGAAGATCTACAATTTTTGTCCAACAATATTGAAGTGGATCTAAGGCACAACAAAATTAAGCACGTCTCTCTACGCGGAGCTGAAGCAGTAGCGAAATATCAAGAAGTTCCACGTAATGTGATAATATATGTCGACGACAATCCTGTAATGTGCGACTGCGATTTGTACGACTTCCTTCGTTACCTAAACGGAGATATGCATCCTTTCGTTCAGAATTACTTTCACATAATACCAGGCAATTTGACCTGTCACGGTCCTGCAGTGCAGACCTGCATGGTCGTGGATAAATTGCAGTCGAAATCTTTCGTGTGTCCGACATTGAAACCATGTCCCTCTGGATGTTCCTGTTGGATCAGACGAAATGATAACGCATTGCTTGTCGATTGTTCTTACAAAAATTTAACGCAAATACCGCAACACATTCAGACCATTTTTGATTACCGGCTTGAATTGAATTTTGTGGGAAATAACTTGACAAAAATGCCATCTTTAGCCGAGATTGGTCTGAACAACGTGTCGACACCTACGTTACTTTTGGCCAACAACAGTCTTAAGGAGATATCCTTGGACGAGTTACCATCAAATATTGAGGTACACTATTTTTGTTAACAATAAAATCTTTATAATTTATAGATGCATTTGCTAGACTTACTTTTAGTTACCTTTTTGTTCTTCAGCTGATAAAATATAATCTTTCTTAAAATATAGTACTTCCTAAATAAATCAGTCTGTAGAGATATAATCTACCTTAAGAATATAGATAAATCTCTATTAAACTCTTAGCTTTAAACATTGATTGAAGTAAAATTGAATTTTTTCAGATACTAGAACTACATAACAATAAGTTCACCAGGCTCAGATCCGATGTTTTGCAATTCTTAAAGAATTCCACAACGCTGAAGGAGCTTACACTACATGGAAACCCATGGGCATGCGATTGCGAAACAAAAGATTTCCTAAACTTTATTCAAACGAGAGCCGGAAGAATTATTCAGCATCCGTCACTGATCCAATGCGAAGGTAGCAAATCTCCAATGCTGAAGATGACGGTAACGGATTTGTGTCCAACGGATACCGCAATGATCGTAGGAGCAAGTTTGTCCATAGCTATCGTTGGATTAATTATTGGTACTTTGATAGCACTATACTATCGCTACCAACAGGAAATTAAAGTGTGGTTATACGCTCATGAGTTATGTTTGTGGTGGGTCACTGAAGATGAATTGGACAAAAACAAGCTGTACGACGCGTTCATTAGTTATTCTCACAAAGATGAAGAATTTGTTATGAACGAATTAGTGAAGAAACTAGAAAGTGGTCCCAGGCCATTTAAACTGTGTTTGCATCTTCGTGATTGGCTAGCTGGTGAATACATAACAACGCAGATCATAAGATCCGTTGAAAACTCGAGACGAACGGTAGTGGTTCTGTCACCAAATTTCATAAACAGCGTTTGGGGGCGAATGGAATTTAAAACAGCACATCGTCAGGCCCTCAGCGAGGGCAGAGCAAGAGTAATTTTGATTTTATATGGCGAAATAGGTCCTACCGATAATTTAGACCCAGATCTCAAGACGTACTTGAACATAAACACGTACGTGAAATGGGGAGACCCTTGGTTCTGGGACAAATTACGATATGCTTTACCTCATCCACCGGAATTAACCAAAAATACGATGAGAAGAAAGATCTTCGAGAAACATCAACCTTGTATTCAAATTAATAGCGAAAAGAAAGAACTCATTTATCCTGTTGGTGCTTCAGAACTATCACCCGCGTCTACTACTCCACCAGCAGATACTCTCAAAGTATTTTTATGTAATGAAACAAAGGAAGAGAAAGAAGAGGATTCCGATAAAGTATCTACGCCAGATAGTAACGCTAAACTCATACTCACATCTGATGAATTAATAAAACATAATTTGAATAAGATTCAGTGTACTACTGTATGATCGTAGACTGTATGTAAATATGGACATGAAATATTTTTTAAGATTGAACATATCGGAATGAAAAATCTCGTAATTAAATGCTTTTATTGTGTGACTTCTGAATCGCAAATATTCGTGATGAACTAATTGCAGAAAAATAAGTAATTACAATCTCGAATTATACTATTGCACGAAATATGGTACAATCAGAATGCAGTAATTTTACTTGCGAAAATGAACTAAAATATTAGTAACCGTTTTTCGTGTATAGGTTAGGCATAATTGTGTGGTGAAATCATGTTTCAAAGTTTCAGATTTTCAAGTTTATAAATTTTCAAATTTCAAAATTTTTAAATTATCCAATTTATAAATTCTCAAACATCTAGATTATCAAATTTTCAAACTCATAAATCCAAAACTAGTCAAAAACCCAAATTCTCAATTGTACCACATGTCTTACCATACCTATATAATTATACATAATGCAATGCGTGGAATTTATTATTACATTTATTTTATGTCAAATGACTGGTACAGATTTAATCAGACTTTAAATATGTCAGTTAACATATCTGTTATGCATAGAGACAAATCACACATGAGGACTGAATACATTTAAGTTTTAAAGAAATGATAGATTCCTGTAAATAAGTACTTTTTGTAATTTTGTATGGTTCTAAATAGGGAGTACGTTGCGGTTGCTGTTGAAATAATCATAATAGAAATAGAATTCATATTACATTAAACATATATAGAATTATTTTTATAATTTAAAGTTAGTTTTCATCTAAAAAAGCATACTTGATGTATGTATATTGTGCACCCTTGTTTATCATTTATATGTATATTAAATTATTATCGTTTATATATTCCATTAGTTCTTTGTACAGGGAACTAGGAAATTATGTTTCATAAAAATTAGAAATGAATAATTATAGATAACTATTGAAATCGTACAATATCGAGTATGATATTAATTAAATAAGATATCATACGATTTCAATATACATTGTACATATACATAATACATTTTTACATCTTCATACTGTAATTCAATTTACATTACCATTTAATTTTAATTTTCTCTATAAACTTACAAATATATACTGTACATAGATATATTATGTTACTACACCAATCATATGTTTGTAGCTCAATTTTATGAGCATGGATGATTCTTTTGTTACGTAATCTTATATAAATTGAAAGTAAATTATTCCTATGTAATCAAATAATACAAACCGACAAAATACCGACTGCGACAATAAATAAAGAATCTCTATATAAAACATGAATTAATGTTAAAACTATTGTTATTAAATTAATAATCCCAATCAAAGTCACTTAATATCATTCTATGACATAGTAGATATATGTATAATAGTATATTTTATCTATATCCAAAAAATTATGAAAACTGTAGAGTCGTTTTCATCAGTTTCAAACAATTCAGTACCTACTTTAGAACTCATTTAAAAGGTGCAATATGTATCAGACAAAAAACTAATACCTCATATACCTCATTTCAATAATTTAGCACAGCTTGTACAGACTTTGAAATACTATTGACTGAATTTTTTAATTTATTTATTAAGAAAATATGCGACTTTTCTTGTACGCTTAATCCGACATTCTTATACGTGTAAAGTAAATAATAAAATAATAACATGTAAAAATAAAAAGCTGAGTGGACAAATAACTCAACCATTATTAGCACATTATTTATAAGTATTTTACATATAAGGAAAGAAATAAAATATAACAGTTGTTGGTGGAAATATTATTTACAGATATATCATTATTCAAAAATCTTAATCTGTTTCATACACACATTAAGTATCTCCTTATAAATAGATGTACACATAATTACAACAGAACACACAATCCGTAGTTATTATTTTACAAATACAAAGCTTTGTAGAAAGATTACATTTACTATTTTGCAAATTATACAAGACCTTGACTAGTATATCAATTTTGAATCACAATTGCAGGACAGGTTCATCTATGATCAAAAATTATACAGTTGAGGTTTCGATAAAGTTCGTTTGGTACTGTCTTGATTATTATACATTACATTATTCCGTTTATATTGCATTTGACATATACCATTAATGTAGAAAAAGAAAGAATTATTTGCATGTAGAGTGGTCTCTGTTACATAAAATATTTTGACAAAAAAATATACAATGTTTTTATCAATCCGTTAACAGTGTTTAAAGTCTTTAATAAAATATTGCAACAAAAATTATGAAACAATATAAATACTTATTATCACATATGTTCACTTTAGGAATAATACATATAACAAAAAATGCAAACATAAAACAAAATTCTTCTTAATTAATTTAATAAATGAAAATGTTCTGGAATGTTTATAAAATGTATTCAAATTTATAACTTTATTATTTGTAGCGATAATTGGAAAAAAAAAACTGCAACTGGTAATATACATGAACTACATTAGTTTAATTCAAAATTATTTTGTTATTCAAAAGTAAAAGCCAAGTTTAAAATATAGAGAAAATAAGAAAGTTTAAAAAATAAATATATTCTGCACTTCTTCTATCATATTGTTCAACTAAATAGTCTTCAGTTCTTAAAAAGCCTCTTATTATGTATTTTCTTTGCAATTTTAGACAAACCGCTAAGTCACAGAGGAACAAACATTTTATAAAAGAACATCAAGCAAAGTAAAATTCGACGTTGAATATTTCCCCTATGTCACCAGCATAAAAACCACGTATTACTGTATAATACGTATATAAATATTTTCAATGTTTTATGCAGCATAACTACTGTAACAAATTTTTAAATAATTATCAGTCTATTGTAGCAAGCTAAACAAGGAGACAGAAATACTCCCTTTTATGCATTTCGTAAATGTTACTTATTCCGTTCAAGGCTTGAGAACATACCATAAAGAAAGCAGGGGAATCAAACTACGCATTCAACATATCATCATCACTATCTGTCTGACATTGTGTAGGATCATCAAGAAGAAGGCGAGCCTCTTCCGTTGTATCAACCTAAAACAAAATAGTATGCATTCATTATTAATTATTTAGTTAGTAAATTTATTTAACTAAAGTATCATAAATTACAGCATTATAAAATAATGTAGTTTTAGCATATCCTTTAGAAATAAATAGTATCTACAAAATAACTCAGTAGTTATTACTATTTAAATATGCAAAAATTGCATGGTTTTCAGAATCAACTATTTCAAGGAAGTAATTAACAGTTATTAAATAGAAACATACCCTACAATATTGTACACGACCACTACCTCTTCTCGAAGAAAAGGGGTTGAAACAAGAACGTAAACAGGCTCGCTTATCTGGATCTCGAAAATAAAGCAATGCTACTACCCAAACGATAATACTTAACACGATGCCTGCCACCGTACCGGCTGAAATAAATAACACATGAGGTAAAACAACATTTTATCAATATATGAAGTTATTTGATTTGACTTCTTAAGGAATTTAATGATCTTATACTTACTATGACTAGCAGAAATGCCTTGAACGTTTTCATGTATATCTGAAGCAGCAGTTGGCTGTGAAGTATTCGACTGCCAAGTGCAAGTAACGTTAGTGTACCATTCAAATTCCGCACTACACGTTGATTCCTATATTAGAAAACAACAGAAAATACAAATATTATCCAAATTATTGTATAATTAAAAGCAATTGTAAAATGTTAACTTACCCATAGCAATTTTGGAACACCAATACCTATGGATTCATTGCATATGAATCGAACTTCAGAAGCATAGGAACCTAATTTAAAAGTATCAAAAAATAAACTTATAAATTACATTAAAACTACTTCAGAATCATTATATTACACGTACTTACTGTTTCCACATTTACTACCATCCGAATATTGTAATCTTATGACATTTCTACCATAATCGAAAAATACGTTTTTAAATGATCCATAGGCATTGTTTTCTTGACATATTGCAGAATTATTACAAAGCTTTTGACCTCCACATATATTTATGCTATATGTTTTTCCTTGTTTGTTTTTTACCTGCAAGATTATATCCAATAACTTTATTAAATTATTTTGAATTAAAAGTAATGTTCAGAAAAATTAAATTAAATTTATTAATACAAAAAGCATGTCATATGTACTGAATATCATTGAACTTACATAATACACTTGTTGATTTTTGTGTAATAAAGACAAATTACATTCATGTAAAAGTAATTGATCTTTTATAATACAGGGAGAAATCAAATAACCCATTACAGCACCACATGTAATGCTAGTTTTCCACTCAAAAACGTAAGTACAGTCTTTGTATTCCTTGAATTCTGGAGATCCCTTAAAGAGTCAATCATAAAATAATTACACAATCATAACATTTATACATGTATGTATCTATTGATTATTACCTTGTCTTTATAATCACATGGAAATGTGAAGTTCGAAGAAATTAATTTATTTGGATTTTCAGGGCAAGGTGATCCACCTATGTATCGTAACATTGTTTTACGATCGCTATTTATTATAGGCCTTTCCTTTGGAAATCCTAAACTCTGTCAACAAATTACATTGTTATTTTTTAATTGTATTTATAAATATCTACATTTACATAATTTATTTTAAAATTCCGCACATCACAATTAATTGAAATCGTTTTACGTAGTTATATTAATGTATATAAAATTTCTACTTACGACTTCGTTTATGTAATCATTATTCGCATTTAATGAAGCTTTGCAAACTGCACTGCCATGTGTACATGTTAAACCTGGTTTAGGAACCAATGGTCTGCATATATTTATATGAAATTCCGTTTTATTCACTTTCACAACGTAATTACTGGTAGAACTTATCAATGAACTTAAGTTTATCTCACTGTCAGCTGTAGTACACTTCATCTATGAAATTAAAAATTTGTTTAAATGTACTTTACGATGAAACGAAACAGGAGAATTATAAGAGGAATAATCATCATAAAATAAAAACTATGTATTCAATTAATAATCTAACCCTTTTCTCGCAAACTAAATTAGTGTTCCAATGTATAATTAACTGACACGAATTTTGTTCCATAACAAGTGGTTTATTCGGCGATCCTTCTGCTCCACACAAAAATGCAATAACCGTATAACGGCGTTGTTTATTTCCGCAATCAGCTCCATTCGTGTAATTTAAATATGGTCCACCTTCTTCCCACATGAGATTTGTATTTGCTATTCCCATAGATGTACTATTTTCAGTCAAACAAGCACCTACAATTAAATATGAAAATAGTTACAATACAACTTTTAATATAATATATACAAATTTTTCCTCAACGGATTAAAAATCTTTAAAATAACCTGTTCCAGATACACAGCTTGAATTTGAAGGTGGTGTACACACTCCAAATGTATACTTTGTTCCATCTTGAGCGTTAGCATAAAAGTCATGATTCATTAAAGATTGTAAATCATACCTGCAATATATCATTCGTTACAAATTTTGTTGAATGTAATACATAATAATACATATGCTAAAAATAATTTGAATTAATCTTACGTAAAATTTGTAAGAGGATTATTGACTGTACATTTTCCAGCAGTTATTGCACTATGATTACGCAAAGATTCTATACTACATGCTTCTGCAGTTTTCCATATTATTCGATAATGACATTCTTCACTTCCTCCCACATACTCTGGAATTGTATCCTAACAAATAAGAAAAAAGATTAGCAAAGAACAGAGGAAAAATAGACAATTTGATTTATAAAATTTACCAAAGCTTTAAAATCACATATGAAAGTAATGGTGGTTTTAATATGTGGTTCTAAAATATGCTTTGTACACAAATCTCCTTGTTCGTACACAAGCTGTAAGTGCCCATCTTCCTGGATAGATAATGGACTCTGTACATTACCCAAAGTCACATATCTATAAATAAATTTTTATCTATGTAGTAAAACTCAAAATTGCTATTAAAAAGTATTTAAAAAACTTTTATATCTAAAAGTGAAGCATATATACCTAGATTTTGAAGGATCTCGTAAACAAGCTCCCGTACGTGTTTGACACAGAGCATTGTATTCAAATATCACGGAATGGCAAACATTTAATATAATTTTTGGAGATGTATTATTACCCGTATGAATAACATAATTTTCTGAATATTTTGTTAAATGAGATAGATCATAATGCAATCCATTATTTGTTACTGCACAATTCTGTGTAACTCTAGGACCACAAGCTAGAGCAGTTTTCCATATCATGTATAAATCACACTGATTTGCATCCTAAAATTTCATTAATATTAAAACTTCATAATGTCAATCATAATTAAGTTTACGTTGAAAAATTCTCTATATAATCTTTTATATGTACATGAGGATATATCTCAGGAAAAGAATCGCTTCCAGCTTGGTAATCACATTTCATGATTATATGTACAATATAATTAAGTTTAGATGTACAACTGTCCCCTGTAAATATAAACTTTATTGTTCCATTTTCTGCATTTATTTTTGGTGGTGTCTTCCCTGTAACATTAAGATAAAGTTATGTAAATAAAAAGCAAAAGTAGTTTTAACATTTCAAGAATAGATAAGAAAACATTAAAACCTATTCCTTTCTCTTCTTTATTTCTTGTCAAACAAATGGCGTATCCATCCTTTCCATTGCACTTTTGTTTTAACGGCATACATAATTGTAGTCGAATAGTTTCATTTAGGTCTTCAAAACTCAATGTAACATCTTTCGTAGGATTTGAAAGACTTGTCAAGTTGTAAGAAAAGGTCTTTAAAACTGGTTCATGAATTATACAAAAATTACCACTCATTACAGGTGCATTCTATGTAAAAAAATAAATAATAATTATAGTGCAGTTTGAAATGTAATAAGACAACATTTGAACAAATTTATATTAATTTTGTCATTTCCAAATATAAAAAGTTCAGAGTGCTAAATATAATACACTAAAAATTCGTTGATCTAACAAAATATATGCAAAACCTAGAACACTCCTTTAATTTAAAAGTTGTACAATTTACATATATATAAATATATATACAAAATATAAATAAATAACATTAAAGAAGTAAATTTAGTACTTACAGCAAAGACAGCAACAGTTGCAAAATAATAAAAAGATAGTAAGATATTTAACTTATACATGTTCTTTCTTTGTTTAATAACAAATTGATCACATTGTAAATATTTAATAGAGTTACACTCATAACAATATTGTTCGTCGTTGAAAATTACAAAATATGAAGGGTTATCGTTTAATGATACAATACGGATGATAGATCGAAATCACTTTATGGAACCGCTTGATGGTTATGAAAACATTATAACATTCGGTTTAGGTTGGATATATCTTTTAAATGAATGACAATTGAGATATCTACTGGTTGTGGGTAAAAAAGTTATATACACTTATTTGAATAACTGGCTTCGATACAAAATGTTAACCAATCAACAATATTGAATTTATCAACATCGATAATAATTCGTCACGTTCATAATATTTTGAGTAACATCTTATATCAACAAAATCAATTAACACTTTGTTTCCGTTAAATAAAAATGGAACGTTTACAAATACAAGAAGCATTTACTGTATTAAAACCACTTTGTGATAGTTTAATAAAAAACCCAAACGTGGATACTGCGCGAAAAGTTGCTAATAATTTGACAAGAGTTTCAAACAAAGTTCTTCAAGATCTGTTGGAATATATTTTATTCCCTTTAATTATTCATTTACAAAATAAAACGTTAAGGTAAATTATTCCTTACTTTCAGAGTTTTTGTAATTTCAAATAAACGATTATATAATAAATTCATATTTTTTATATCATAGTATAAATAGTACTGACCATATATATAATTTTACAGTAAAAATGTGAAAGAAGAATTAGTAAGGACAACGCAGGCAATACTATCAAGGACAAGGATATCTAAAGTGGAATATTTTAATAAGTTGTATTCATGTCTTTTAATACAAATTTATGATCCAACGCAGCAAAATATGGGTATTTATTTAAGCGAATTTAAACTTCAAAGTGAATTTTACATATAGTCTATAGGGTATCTGCATTTCCAGTTAATTTGAACTGATTCTGTTTTTTGATTTTCTTTTTCTGTAAACATATTAGAGTAGAGGTGGTCTATCACATAATTTATAAGCAGAGTGAGAGAGAATAATAAATGTGAAATGTGCAAAATCTCTAAAACATTATTTCAGTAATACAGGATTCAGTTAAAAACAATTTTTTAAGAACAAAATATAATGTAATATATATAATTTTTACAGTAATCGTTGGTCATGAAGAACTTAAAGAAGCAGTACTGTTATGCATCAAGACTTTAATACATTCTTGCTTCACAGAAGTTATAGAGTTAATCTACACTAGAGAGAATGCCTCAAAGATAGGCCAAGGAATATTGTTATCTATAACAATAGGAAGAAGTGAAAAATCACGTTCCCTTAGGTAAGCACAGAACTTTAATCTTATGCTTTTATAATATATTCATATGTGTATTTTTATAATTTTCAGATTTAAAGCTGTAGAAACAGTAATGGCATTGTGCAAAGTGGATGATGAAACAGATAAATCAGATATTGTATTACAGGATCAAATAGCTGATGTTATTATGTTATTCTTACCTGGAATTGTTAGCGGTTTGCAAGAGATAGCTATGGGAAATGAAATACAAGGACATAAACTTACAATGGTAGTATTAAAAATATATTAAAATTATAATTTAGAATAGTACTCAATGTTTCTTGAATTTTGTTAAAACAAAATTATAGATATCGTTAAGAGCTTGGGGAAGAGTAATATCTCTGGTAATGAAAGATAAATTGGAAGAAGAGGATGATGTTCCAGCATTAGGGGCTCTTATCGAAGGAAATCACGAAATACCTATTAATCCGATAGAAAATTTATCACACATTAAAGATCAAAGTGAACTAGAGAACCGTGTTAAAAATACAAAAAGAAATAAAGAATGGTTTAATGCTACTGCAACTAAGCTTAATGTACTTGTGCAACAATTAGATGTACTGAAACGACACTCTCATCATAAAGTTAGGAAAGAATTAGTAGAAAATATTCATTTACTACTTACAACATGTTCTAGGTAATATTTTATTTTTATATCGTTCTATATACAATTTTTAATACGGAATTGTTCAAATGATTTGAACAGGAATATGCAACCAAACGTTATGTTATTACTAGAGTATTTAATATCTCTATCTGAAGACGAATTTGCAGAAGTTCGTGAAGAAGCTGAGAAAGTCCTAAATGCAATTAATGTAAGTTATATGCAAAACAAGAGTATGAGACCACTGGTGGAGTTACTGGAGGAAAACTTTTATAATGTTCTTACCAAATTGCCTAGAATTATCAGGAGATTTGGTACGATTTTAATATTTTTACATTTAATTCGTCCTTACATACCATAGTTATTTAAAGATAATGATAGTGTAAAGAAATAGTTGTTTTTCAAGCAGCATATGTTATGATTGTATAGATGATGGTGATCAGTTATCCTGTTTAAATCAACTTGCTGGTTACTTAAAACTTCTTGGAGAACAAAGATTACCTCGTATTATGATGTCTACACCACATGTTCGAAGATTATTATTGGCTCTTGTATATGTATCTGAAATTGATTGTAGTAACATTTCTCTCTTACAAGATGTAAATGTAAAAGATCTTGAAGACCCAGCATATTTATATGGATCACATTTGTGGAGACGATTTAAATTTATTCAAAACAAAGCATGCGAAGAAAAACTTATAGCAATATGCAAATATCTCGGACAATTTGGAGACCTTCGAATTTTAGTGGATACTATTTTTGATCTTATCTTTAATGTGCCACGACATAAAAAGGAATTAATATTATTATTAAACTGGATAATAAGTAGTATGTTAAATTATATCTACTTTTAGAATAATCCATTTCAGTACACATTATTAATTACTAACTAAACATTTCAGTTCCGCTTAGAGACCCATCGTTTCTGTCAATTTATAAAGAAATTGTGGAATTCTATATAAATCCAGAATTTTGGTATACTGCAATTGAAAGTACTGAAGACATTCCTCTATGTATTGCTCAGAGTAATGTAATACAAAGTTGTTTATTATTAGAAGGTCTAGGATTAATTGCTTTAACTTTGAAACGTGATTATGACAGGTTTCTTCTAAAAACTTTATATTTAATCATAGAAAAAGCAGGTAATTCTTTTGTTACATTATAGACAAGCAATTAAATATAAAATTATATGAAAATATTCATGTACATTTTTAGGTAGTGGACATAGTTTAATTAATTTTGTTGGAACTAAAACACTTGAACAGGTTGCAGAATCTCAGCAGTATAGTGCAGTGGGAGATCTTTTACGTGCAAATGTCGATTATTTTTCATATCACGTTACTGTAAAGTTACGGAGAGTCGAACGTAATCCTGGGGTACTCGATGTTGTTGGTATTGTTATAAGATATAGTACAATGGACGTATTACCTTGTTTGAAAGAGGTTGTGGAAGATGTACTGATACAATTAAGTAGTAGCTTTCAGCAAAAAAATTCTTATGCTTTCTTAAAAGTTTTTTATACATTTGTAACATGTATACGAAATTTAATAAATGTTGAAGTTATACCAAAAACGCAAGAACAAAGTGTAAATATCGAATGTAAATCTTCAAGAATTATTCAGGCTTTGTTAGAATATTATGAAGCAAAAAGGGTAGATGATGATATAGAAAAGCAGCCTAATGAAATTATGTTGCAAGAGGAAGAAATATTAGAAGAATCAGAAGTATATCAAGAAGAGTTTACAAAGGAACAGGGTATGTATTTTGTTATAATTAATAATATAAAAGTTATACTGACTAAAATATGAATTATAGAAGAGAAGAAAAATATACCTTTTTATATCAAAATGATTGAAGATATAATGAAGCACTGTTTACATTTCTTACCATCTAAAGAAGTTCAAAAATCATTAATCGCGATGTTAACGTTACAAGAAGGCCTACAAATTTTAGCAAAATGGGAAAATCAACTGTTACCTATTGTACATTTGCTTTGGCATCCGTTAGTAGATAGATTTCGCGATGAAAATGTATTAATAATCAATCGAGCATGGCAACTATTAAATATGCTGGCATACGTTTCAAAAGATTTCATTCGATCTAGAACGCTGAAGTAAGTTCGTTATTTATGAATTACAACTATGCTTTCTACTAAAATGTAGTGAAGATGGTTTGTACAAAAGGGCTGCTCCATTTTAATTTAATACATATTTCCAATCTTAGAATTAATATAAAAATATGTTACATTCTTTTCTATTTTTAGGCAAGTACTGCCTGCACTTTCTAAGTTTCTGCATGATTCTGCCAAACAAAGTTACAACAAAAGTTCAGAAAATATTTATAAATTTACTCAAACTTATAAGTTACAAAAGGAATTGCTTTCTACATTGGGTAAAGTCACGAAAGATTTAGGTCTTCGTGAAAAAGAAACGTGGAATATACTATCCATCGTAGAACCATACCTCAATAAGAATCAACATCCTACATTACAAGTAAAATTTTATTATAACCAATATTTTTAGCTATATTACTTTCACGTGTACATAAATTACTTGTTTTATAGGCATGTTGCCTACAGTTATACAAAGAAATCGCTGATTATAATGGAGATATTGCTTTGATCAAATGTCTCAGTATTTTTCATTCTAAAATATCGAAAATTGCTTCCGATCCAACGTTTGATATTAAAGATTTAATGGTAATTTTTAATATAAAATGGCATTTATGATTGCTTGTAAACGATAAAATATTGATTTTACTTAAGTAACTTTGTGTTTTTTATTTTCAGAATGTTGAAGATTTTTCAACAAATGAGTATTATAAAAATGTACAAACAGTTATAATGCATATTCAAGATAAAAGTTCTGATCTCTGAACTGAAATTATTGTTTATTAAACTGATAAAGCATTTATCAAACTAGTATATTGTACATAATGTACATACATTGCAAACTTGGATTATAATGTACATGATTATAGATGGTCAGGTATTTATTTTAGTTTTTACAGACGTGCCATATGTGATTTAAAATTAATAAACTTGGTAATTTTTTAAATTTTATTTGTATACAATTTTTATTTCACGATGATATTTCACATCTTATGTTATTGTTTACAGGTTTTTTGTACAATTTTTGTCTATTTAAAATTTTACATTTATCTACAAAGCAAATAATTGTCTTGTACACGTATGTTTCTGTATTTTATTCACAGATAATATAATTAATTTTTTATTTAATTATAAACATACAATAAATAAATTCACTTTTGTAGTATAAGTTGATCATTTAATTTTTTTCTTTTACGCAATTGTAATAAATTTAAAAAAGACTATTATTTTTTAGTATGTATTCTCTAGATTCTATACATTTTAATGAAGAGAATTAGAATGCGGATGTTATTTTAATGATCTGGCAATAATAAATAATATTGTAAATATCAAGACCAAAAAATGCTCATAAATGTTAAACACAGAAATATGATTTCCATGCTTTTGTAATATTTTTTACTTAGCTCTTTAATAAATATGATTAGAAATGGTAACTTTGCAAAATATAATGGAATTGCTTGCGAAGAATTTTAAAATATTTTTATATTATATTTCACTAACACAATAATTTGAATTTTAGTACTGTAAATGGTAATAAATTAATATACATATTTAAAGTAAATTAAAATTTGTATACATGGTTATGTACATTCTCTTTGTAAGTTTTTCAAAATATCTATACATATGTATATTTTTTATTACATACTTATAAGATATTGCAGCTGTTCATTTCTTGCAAAGGAGGAACGATAAAATGTGAATGTTGGAACAACACGTTGTTTAAACATCCAAAGTTCTATGGAACACAAATATTTTATGATACTTAGATGCCAAACCAATATAATATTTAAATAAATAATAACAAGAAATAAAATTTCATAAATAAATTGCTAAACTTTGTCAGAAATTTTAGTTAAATTTTCTATTCAATAATTTAAAAAGCATGTTATTGAAAATAGATGCATTTACACAGAATGTTCAGATACAAATGAGAAGATACTGATGTTACATGGCAAAATGAGTTGGAAATATACAGTAACATTTTGTTGCATAAAACGTCGGTTTAAAGAAAACTGAGTTTGAGATTTCTCCAAAATATTTGTAAACAAATTTGCTTACAGCAAAGAGTTGACATTTTCAACAAAATAATTTTCTGCATAAAATTAAAATTCAAACATGTGGCATTATCGATCAAGTTAGGAATATGATAAATGTATGTGTTTCTGAAGAATTTTCAAATTCGATTTTCTGAAAAACGAAGCCGTTAATAAAAAAAATTAGTTTATATTTTCGATATATTTTTACGCATAAGCACCACCTTCTCGTTTGTTCTACATTCTGTGAAACACTCTGCACAACACAAATGCATAGTTATATATCTTCAATAAAAAATCATTATATTTTGAGCATGTTTTCAGTTATTTTAATAATCTAATAATTAGCAATTATGGTCCACTCTTGTCATATAATGATTAGCACACTTTGAAACATTTAGAAATATGCTACTTCTAGCGTGTGCGTTCTGTACTAATAAAAGAACAAATATGTATGTATTTTAAGATACTTTAGGTGAGATAATAAACTGTTAACATTTACTTTGCAGTAACATTGGCTTTTTATAAAACAGTATCTTTTTTACAAGTTATTAGCAAAATGTTTTGCTTTTAGTGAACAGACACTTAAGAATTATACACATTCATTCTCTAAAGAAACGAAACATCATTTCCATGCTTGCTTTTGCGCTTTCTGGGATGCTAGTTTCTTTGTTACATATGAAGAAATTACAAGCGCTACCAATACTATCACAATGAGATAATAATCAAAATCTTCTTTTAAAACATCGAATGTTTTAGACGGTGCCACACGAGTGTAGAACAAGTCTGTAAATATTGTATTAACTATTTAATTATTTACTTACACGTGTTATGTTATTCATTTTCATGATACATTATAAATATTAATATTTTAATTCATAGAATAATTAGGTATAAGTCTTAAGTACTTACCGAGACCATGTACAAAAACTAAGCAAGTACTTTCAAGGCCACTAGGACTAGTATGGATACCTGATACCCTAAACACGCTTTGATTATAATTGATTATTGTATCCATATGAATAGGTATTTCAGGCATATATGGTATTACGCCTTCTTCGCGCACTTCTGGATTAATAGGCCGCCGTGGATCGACCATCATCCACGGTAATTCTAATATTCCGCCATTGGCTAGGGCCACTATTAAAGGTTAACAGTAGATTATAGACAATCACTTTGTTCTAAGTATAAATAGTGTATGCTGTATTTAACTTACGTACCTATAATATGTTTGCTTGTGATACCCTTTTCTGTAATCGTTTCCTGCATTGATTCGATCGCAGCGGGGAATATGAAAGCCTGCCTTTCCACGATCGGCAATTTAGTTGTAGCTAAAGATGAGAACACTGAAATGACACAAAAATGTTAAATCAATAATGGTTAACACAGACGTGAACAAAGTATTAGTGAATCATAAATGTAATACCTGTGGTGTTACTTTGTATTTTCCCTTCATAAAGTTCTAAACTAGCAATTTCTGTCCTTCGGCTTTTCTCATTAAAGTAACTATAAACTATCCAATTTTCTGAATGCACAACATGAACTGGACCGCGAACTCTTTTGTGCATAATTGAAAATATCATTGCTCCAGATACTACATCCAGTAAATACAGATTAAGCGTATCTACAAGTTAAAAATAATTTATAGGATGATTAATATATTTCATGAGTATTAGTTTGTTAATAACAGTTCAACTTACTTTTATGAGTGTATCCTATACCCTCTGTTACTATAGCCACTAAGTTAGGATTAATATACTTATATAAAACTGATCTATCATTTAGAACTCTACCCTGGGAATGAACACGTTCTATTGGATTTTTTGACACAACGTGTGTTATTCTTTGGTTTTTTGGTGAAAGTAGCAACTCCCATACTTTATGCGCAATAAGTTCCTATAAAATTACATTATGATTAAAACATTTAACAAAGAACGTTTTAAAAGTTGCACATACCTGAGCTGTGCTATATGAAAGTGAAAATCCTGATAATACTCCGGTTGTTGGATCAGTTGTAAATATATATGTATTTTTACCAACTGATGCAGCAATTGAAGTTGCACTTTCAGGATACACGTGAGCTTTATCTCGCGTATCAAAAATCAGAATGCTTCGCAGGAAATCATCTGTTGTCGCATGTAGTAACATGGATTGTTTTATTCTATATCCTAATTTTATCAAACCATCAAGAGATTGGCCAGTAATTGGATTAAATACGTATATAATCCCTTCTGACGTTTTCTGAAATATTTAAAGAACATTACTGAAGTTACAATGTAATATAAAAATAACATTCTTATATACCTTATCTTCTGCTAGTAATGCACACTGAGGCGGGTGCGGAAAATGTCTGCTACCACGTTGCACGTATAAAGTCATTGCATTAGATTTTTTAGCAAAGCCTTGAATATTTGGTACTCTAAGATTCCAAATAATTTCACCTTTTCTAGTTTCAATACCATATAACTATAGACAAAATGAAATATTAATACTGAATATGTGCATTTTTATTATAAAACTTATATTTGGTTTTGTACCTTTCCTGGCGATGTAACCAAAACAATCATTTTGTGTAATCCAAATTTATCTCGTACCAAATCAGTACGTTGATTGGACTGCTGTGGGGTGAAGTTCAATATTGACTGGAAAAATGCCTTTGCTTGTTTAAATTGAGAACTGATTCTTCTAAATATCATACTCAGCACATCCCCTGGTTATAACAAAAATATAAAATATGTTACTCATATTAAATTAATGCTACAAATTATTTTGTATATTGCATTTATCAAAAACGGACAAAAACAATAAAATATTCAATTATAAAATTGGAATAGTAACAAATAACAAACAATTACGATATTAATAAAATATGTTAATTAAATAACATACAATCAATTAGATGTGATCAGACAACAAAATAGCTGTGTTATATTATTTTCAACTATTCATGCATGATACTTAAATATTTATGGTATTTAAAAATTAAATTTGAATATATTTTTTATAATGTATATCAAATAAGTCTATTTATCAAATTATAAAACTGGTCAATACCATCATGCACATAATATTACAGCAATTTCCTTAAATAGCAAAGATAAAAATATTTACTAGTTTGCATTTAATTCGTTTATGTTTTCTTGTGCCTCTAAAGAAAATTAACGTGCGCATAATACTAATAAACAGCAGGAAGATAAAGTAATTTTCAAACCAGCCCTTGCTGCTCCACTACTTACATGAACTGTCTACATCAATACCTGCCAGCAGCCATTCACAAAAGAAATATAATTAATATAACTTAACTAATATTCTTTTATTTACAAATAAATTATGGAAAATATTAATATAATTATTATAATTTAATTACAAGAATAAGCTTTTGTAGTAATATTTTCTAAACGCATAGAAACAAAATAGTAACAGAAATTTAATCTTTATATTATTTTAATACAAATATTTTTTTTTAATTTATATGAAATATTGTTTTACATTAAAAACAATTTTAATACGAGTTTATTTTTTAACACCGTAATCATCAACAATTACATATGAACGTTTATTTAATAATTTCAAATAAAAATATCTACTTTATTTTACACGACTTTCTGCTATATTTAAACAAATATAATAAAAATATATGTACTTACTCTCTTTCTGATCAAATTCTGTTTCAATTTCTTGATCCCTATCTGACATAGGTAACTCTATTATTTCCACAGCTACAATACTAGCAAGAGCTTCTTCTCTAGACCATATTAATTTATTATGTTTTAAAAGTGACACACTATGATCTTCTGAAGCTAATAAATGACGGCAGGTCACACCTGTCGCTTGCCGCGGACAAACTGATGCCACAATTGCTGGTGATAATAAAGAATTATGTGTTAGACTAACAGACAGATTTGGCAACGATTTTGACGTTAAGAGTTCTGTGGCAGCAATTTCTGTCATCTGAAAAACAATCAATAAAGGTTTTTAACATAGAAATTAAATAGATTTTGCAATATAGTTTAAATAAAACACTCACTCCATTTTTGTAAGTCGTTTCTAGTAGTACTTTTTCATTATCAACTGACACAACATAAAGCATAGCATCCCCCACAATATCTCTTTGTACAGGAACAGGTACTTCTCCAACCAGAAGAATTCGTTTCCTCTGATTATCATCTGCAGTAATTGATACAACAGGTTCCTCACCAAGTACTGCTTCCAAATGATATGGTCCTTGTGCACCAGCACCAAATACTGTGTTTATGGTAACTGATTTTGGTTGAGAATTCGTATCAAATAAATGTACTAAAAACAGTACAGCTAATGAACTATCTCCTTTTAAGCATACTAAATATGGAGCTGCTAACACACACCTGGAATAGTAAAAATGTGAAATTATTTAAAATATTAAATATTAGTTTTAAAATATGTAATACTTTTATAATAACATTTAATTATTTTTGTAGGTAGTTATATTAAAAGTCAACAACATACTCTGTTTCTTCAGTTATAAATGGTGCGGAAACTCTTCGAGTTTTCAGCTTGTCTCCTGTTTTACTGTCGTAAGATGTTACTTCAACACCACTATTATAAATTGGTAAAATATGATGCAATGTTCCATCTTTTATATTCCATTTTACATCTTTGATTCTATATGATAAAAAAATATTATTAGTTATAATTTATATTGGTTATAAATTCTACACATTAAAAAAATTGTATGTCTTCGTTTTGCTACTATATTACATTAATAACAAATTTTATTAAAATTTATTGTGTATACCTTCAAAGGCAAAATATTTTGTAAAATATGACATAAACAAGAAATGAACAATTATTTAATAAGAAATAAGGTTTTTTGAATAATTCATGTCATGTTATAAACTATACAATAGTTTCTATGAAACATTTTATATACTTAACATTATAAAAGCTAAACTGAAATACAAATAAATTTAGTTTACTCCACCACCTTAACAAAATGTTCATTTCTCTAAATTATGTTTTAACTTACAAAATAATTTGCATGCTTGTTTTACACTGAAATTAAATTTTAAACAAAAAACATAATATGAAAATGACATTAAGTGTAATAATTTCTTAACGTGATATTGTTAACATAACACTGTTGATTGTGCATTAAATAGCAATAAAGAAACCTGTTAGCACTGTACAATCCTATTGTAGAAAATGATATAAATGGAGAGAAACGTCTGAAAACCAATAATATAAATTATATTTTATTACATTTTTCTACAAAAATCTAATTTCTGTCACCATAATTATAATTCAAACTGGTAAATACGTATTGAAAGATTCTATTATAATATAGAAATATTTATCAAAATAATATATAATAATTGTATAAATAAAAATAAAGATTACTGTTAAATTATTTTAAAAAATAATGATACTGACCTTTCAGGACTTTGCTCAGCTATTGGCCATTCGTGAAGTATGTGTCCAGTAGCTAAATCCCATGCACGCACAATAGCTGGTACTCCTCCGCTGACAGAAACAAGATCTCCATCTGTGACTCCACCTAGCGCACGAATGTGGCCTGCACATCCTTTTTCTAATACACGTCTCCATAATATTTGTCCTAAATAAATTAATAAACATCTTGTACCCTTATAATACAAGGTGAAATTGTGATATATGATATAGTCTATATATATCTATTTATTCGAAGAAAGCATTCTATTACCCATATGTCTACATATACACTAATATGAGGAGATAAAGGTGATAATGATATAAGATAAATTGTTTCAAATAGTGATCTGTGTACATAGATATAATTTATACAAGACCATGATTGAAAGAAAAGATACTACTAGTAAATCTACATTTACCTCGCCAATGGTTAGAACATATGCATGAAACAGATGTTCGCTCAGATTAACAAAATCTTTTACTTTTCAACATGGGAATTAACTTATACCATTATGACCTTCTAAACGTAGCTCTGGAAGTTTTAATACATATTTATAACACGGATTATACTTTATAAACACATTGAATGAATAACTGAAACATGATTATTTTCAATTAATGAAAAGGTAGGACACATGCTGCATGACTTTTAATTTACTTATTAATTTCAACCTAAAATTGTACATTTTCATTCGCGACGTTAAAGTAATGAAAGGTTACAAGTTATCGTCATGTACAATTATTTATTATATTGATGTTTACAGCCCACCTGACTTAAAATTTAGCGCAGCAATAACGTTTTCTTCGGTAGCAACAATAATTTTTTTTGCGGCCGAAACAGTGTCAAAACTGGCAAATTTAATTTTACCAACGTAATTCTGTTTCCTGTAAAAATAATGACGAATCATTTATTTACAATAATTTAACATTTAATGCACTGTCAAATGACAAAAACACGTTGTTGCATTATTAAAGAAGTTCAACATCACAATCAACATTGGTTCGAGAATTATAAATAATTTACCAGTCAAATTTTCCAACTTGATCTTCATAGAGACATAAAGATAAATTAAATAATCCAAATAGCACGATGAGGTATTGTAATATTTGAACATCAGTTAAAAACCGATTGATATTCCCTCTAAAACTCCATATGAACAAAGCCATGACGATAACTTGCGAATGTATCAACCCATCCGCTTACACAAATTTCCTCCGCACCTGACGTATAACCATTGGTAATGTAACTTTACGATAGTCACCTCGTGTAGAATCTGTGGATGATTTACTGAAACGAATAAATCCAATAATAATTAAATATTTGCAACATTTTGGTAACAAGAATTAACTACGATTATATTTTATTATCTATATTACAACTTTTTTGTAAAAAAGTATTTTTGTTAAAGTACAGAGAAGTCGTGGATAATTGTGTTTACGAAGGCGCGATGCGTAAACGTACAAACATGCACTCACGGATATCCTGAAGAGCAAACCTGCCTTCTTTTACTTAAAAAAGGTATTTTCGAAATTAATAAATAATAAAACATTTACAAGTGCATGCTTATTTATAAAAGTAAGCTATTTTATTGAATATTTTACGTTTTAGAAATGTGACTCTAAGAACTGCATCAACACATAAATTAGCACCGTTTTATAACTACATATCGCATTGAAAATTGCATTTATAATGGACGTATCACGGTAGTTTAATACATAAAAGAGATATAAAAGACAGTATATTGTCTTCAAATAATTGAATTAAAAAAGTGAAAAGTATTTTGGAAGTTTGTTGGCGTCGTCTACTGGCCAAGTGTGAAACTATTGAAACACAAAATTGCATTTTTTTGTATTTTTTAAAATTGTATTTTTACATTAATCATTTGTTCACAAGTACAAGTATTCTTGATCGATGACTTTGATAACAAAACTAATCTTGTTCGACGATTCTGATGATCACCATAGAGTATATGAATTATTGAACATGATACGCATATAAATACATCAAGAAAAAAGGAAATAATCATTTAAAGAAACCGCCACAGTTGCTGTCAACAGCGACATCTATCAACAAACTGTTGAACTATGATGAACACGTGTAAGTACCGATCGGATTCTGTGGGTAATTAGCTGACTATACTTCAACGGTAATATACCATTAGCGAAGTTTTTATAGTAGTTCCGCATATCACTGCCAGATGGCGCTACGACGTATCTGCATAAGGGGGCGTTCAGATTAGGCAAGTACTTATCAAAATAGCCTAATGTGAACGACATTTAATTAAAATTCCGCGTATCACTGCTAGATGGCGCTGCATTGAATCTGCATAAGGGGGTGTTCAGATTAGGCAAGTACTTGTCAAATAGCCTAATGTGAACGACATTTAGTACAGCCCAAGGAAGCAATGGTCCGATTTATGTATTCATCACATTTTTTTCCATAACTTACAATTTTCTTCAACTTTTTAGAAGCAAATTAATTGCTACATTATCTTTAATCTCTCAACAGATTTTTATTAGCTTTCTACAAGATCCTGTACTACAACGCACACTAATATGTACATACTATTATAATAATTCCGTCCTAGAATTAAGTGTTAATAATGTATCCATCTATTAATAAAATATATAAAGTCATTTGATGTACAAAACTATTTGAAAATAAATATGAATAAAAACATGTATTTGCATATTTACTTCCTTATAAATCCCGTCATTCCGATCCCCAGAAATTGCAACAAATTTTAAAAAATAAAAAACAAAATATTCAGAATTTGTACCAGGAGAACATGCACAATAAGGAGGTATTCTTTGTGCTTCATAGAATTCTCATAACGTCATTTCAAGAATTCTCGAGGCGCGATTTTTGAAATCCCACGGACCAATTTTGAAAATTTGTATCAGGAGAACATAAGTTATGAGGAGGTATCTTTCGTGCCACTTCTTGGAATTTTCATGACGTCGAATTCCAGGAATTCCCGCGGCGCGATTTTTGAAATTCCACGGACCAATTTTGAGAATTTGTATCAGGAGAACATAAGTTATGAGGAGGTATCCTTCGTGCCACTTTTTGGAATTTTCATGTATTCGAATTCCTGAAATTCCCGCTGCGCGATTTTTGAAATTCCACTGACCAATTTTGAAAATTTGTATCAGGAGAACATAAGTTATGAGGAGGTATCTTTCGCGCCACTTTTTGGAATTTTCATGACATCAAATTCCAGGAATTCTCATGTCCGCTTGATACAAATTCTCTCTTTCGAATGTGTAAGTTTTTATTCTGTTGGGTTTGTTAGGTAGCAATAAATATACAGTGATTGTTGATAAATTTTTTTTTATTTTCACCACATTTCATACAGTGCATAACTTAATTAAACTTAGTGTTTAATCATTTAATTACTAACGAAAGGCTAAGCAACTTCGAATTGTTCTGACTTTACTACACTATTATCAATTTTGAATCACTTTTACGGTAATCGTAATTGGCTTACTGATTTTTATAGGGTATGTTTTCCTATATTTTTAATTGTCAATAAACAATAACTTTTCAAAAATAATTGATTTATTGAAATTGATTCTGAATTTGATTTAAATATGTGCTCTTGAATTCAGATTTGGTTAAGGAATGAATAACAAACGATTTGCTTTTTAAAATAAAATTGAATATCAAGTACAAATAAAATTCTTCATGTACGACGGCTTGAGAACAGAACTCTTCTTGACCGACAACTCCAAAATGATCACCACATTTTTGTCTTATGCATCGCCATCTAGTGGCGGAAGATTAGGACTAATTAACCTATAGTTTCAAAAGAGTGTAGTTCACCTTGTTCGCCGTAGAGATGGTGCCACTTATTCTTCTTCTCGTAAAAATTCAATTAATATTGATTATGGGCTAATGACCATGGCAGTCAATGCCCATAACACTAATCATCATTAATATTGATTTTATTGATTAATATGCTGTATATTTATTATATATTCATTAAATATTGATTTTATGTTGTTTGAAATGCATTCCATGGCTCGCAAGATGCGGATTATGTGTTCATAACATTTCGTACACTATACTGTATCTCGTGGATGATGTTGGAAATGACATAAGAATGGCAACAAATTTTCTTTTGATTCGCTAAAAATCATTTTCATAGATACCTTCTTCTGCAAAAAAAGAGCTTACTTGCAATATGTGGTCAATATCGGAATCTTCGGTTCTCCGAAGTTTCGCCTAAATCTCTAAATACATTTACATTTAAATAATTTCTTATTTTAGTCAGTATTTGATTGTGATTTAACAATTTTAAATGTTAATTATAAAATAGGTAAAGAAATTCCATATTTTTCAATCGCTTCTTGGTTATCCACACAGATGTCGCAAAAAGTGTATAAATGAGTATAATAGAAGCCCTATTTGTTGATATTGTTTCCTTGGAGAATGTTATCGACTTAATTTTGCCTCGGGTAACTTCATAAGCAATGTTTTAACGTACTTATGTCTTGAACAACGCACTTGTAGTCAGTTCTTGATTTGTTTCCGTGCATTCAAAAATTTCAGAGATCGTTTTTTCCTAATGAGGGGTACGTATTTTTTTAATAAGAAATTATAGTTAGAAATTTGCTTGAAATTTATTTTAATTTTGCAATACAATGGTAGAACACATGTAACAATATAAAATATATAATAAGAAAGGTATTTACTAATTACATTTTTGTTATTCAAATTAAATTTCACTTTATGAGTTAGTAACTTAAAATTTATATTCCATTGTGTATGAACTGTAAATTGTAAAATGAACTATATTACATATTACAACAGTGTGTTATGTATTATGCTTATTATATGTACTTGATGTTATAAAGTAATTGTATTATAAATTATTATTTTTACATAGACAAATTAAATATGAAATATACACATAACAATTTTTTTCCTTTCTTTTTACTGCTTAAATTAAAATTCTCTTCACAGAGTAGTTCATATATGTACATGCGGGTCCGATCATGTTATTGATCTTTCAATAAACAATAACTTTTATTGTGTCAAAATTCGTTTGAATTATATTTCAATGATTACATATTATGCATAGTAGAGTTTTTCACAAAGTAATCATGATGCAAGGGGGTGAATTTGCATATTTCTGAATTATACATTTTCATTATTTTATAATTTTATCAATGTTACTGACAATACTTTCAGTTAAATTATTGAACAAGGTCTTAGATGCAGTTAATAATATTTGAAGCCAAACGTAAAGATGTCTTACAAGAAAAGTACAGATTAAGTCAGAAGTGACAAAAAAATATTGTTATTAACAAACTGACGATAATGAAAACAAAATATTAATTATTTCTCAAACTGCCATGTTTGTAAAATTACATACAACGTTTTTTTGCTATTTATTTCCGCACATATACACAAATAATAATTTTACCAATCATGAATACATTGTTAATATAATCAAATACCTATTAATTATTATTACAAAGCAATAACTGTAAAAGAAGGAATAATTATTACTTTCTAATAACTGCCTAATTAATTTAATAATTGAATAAAACGTAATAATTATTACCTTGTAACAATAATAAAGGGAGTTGGGAATATAAGAATTTAGGGAACTGGGAATTTGGGGAATTGGAAATTTAGGGAATTGGGGATTTGGGGAGCTGGGGATTTTGGAAACTGGGGATTTGGGGAGCTAGGGATTTAGGGAACTGACGATTTAGGGACCTGGGGATTTGGGGAGGTGGGGATTTTGGGAACTGAGGATTTGTGGAGGTGGGGTTTGGGGAGCTGAGGATTTGTAGTGCTGGAGATTTGGGGAGCTGGGGATTTGGGTAGGTGGGGATTTGGAGAGCTGGGAATTTGTAGTGCTGGGGATTTGGGGAGCTGGGGATTTTGGGAACTGGGGATTTGGGGAGGTGGGGATTTGGGGAGGTGGGGATTTGGGGAGCTGGGGATTTTGGGAACTAAGGATTTGTAGTGCTGGGGATTTGAGGAGCTGAGAATTTTGAGAACTTGGGATTTGTGGAGCTGGGGATTTGGGGAGCTGGGTAATTGGAGAGGTGGAGATTTACAATAAAAAGTAATAATTATTACCTTGTAACAATAATAGTGTATTGGATTATACAAACTGTGCAATAATTTTACCGAACATTTATGCGAACAAAATGTTTTCCTCGTGACGCATATAGGAACATTTGATATGCTCGCATTTTCTATGTTCTCCTTCGAATTCTGAACGTAATCACGGGGGACTAATGCGAGCCTATTGCAGTAATAATATTCACGAGTCGAAATAAGTCCCACAGGTGATATGATCAAAGTTCACCAGCCACGTCGTTGCTCGTGTCTGTCGCCGTCAATTTCTACCTAATATGTCACGTGGAAAGTACGGAATTGCCCGGAGGGTGTCTTTGATCTCGCAAACCCCCGGAACAACCGTGCTGCTTGTCCACCTTCCGAAAACTCACCCTCTGAAGTCGCACGCCACGTACGCGAGCGAGGGTTGCTAAATCCAATTTTATTGTTTGCACGCTCAGGAAAGCCGGAATTACTTCGATTTCACCCGTGAAACGTAAATCGCTCCTTCGCCTCGATTTCGGCTTACTTAAATGCAATCTAATAATGCAACGATCGTCTACAATCGATGCTAATTTACCTGCTTCGAACATGAATCGATTTACGATCTTTCCTTCAACAGATTTATTACACGCTTTTTGGAATTGAAACATTGTTTCTAAATTGTTTTTGAAATTATTCAAATATTGTTTTGGAATTGTTTTTGGTTCAAGTACTTTGGAATCATTTTTTATTGGAGCATTGTTTTGAAATTGTTTTTCATTACAGCACTGTTTTAAAATTATTTTTTAAATTTAGTTACTGAAATGTATTTTGTGATTTATTTCAATTAGTACATTTATATGATTGAAGATCAGCCATTTTGTAGTCAGTGATTTACAATTTGATTGACAATTTGTTGGAGTTTCTTTTAGATTGTTTACAAAGATTTGACTAAAACTTCATCTGGTGTTTGAACACCTAGTTGTGAATATTTGCTATAATTTACAGTAATTGTAATTGCTAGTAAATTCATTATATGAAACTATCTTACAAATTAAGACATTTTTAGAGAAGCGATGCTAGAGATAATAATTCTATAATGCAATAATATTACAATATACCTTGTGATTATTACATGAATAACATTTTTATTAATATTATTTTTCATTTTTTGATTATATGTAATAATAACTGTCTTTCATTTAACATTTGCATCATAAAACAATAGAGGTTACAATTGTTAAATTAAATCGTGTCATCCTGTATCGAATTTCTATTGAATGTGCAACTTTTAAGCACCTAAATACGTAAAATCAGCAAGTAGTAAAATTTTGTTAATTAAAACTTGGCATACAACTAAATAAATTATAACAACGAAAAGTGTAAAAGGATGATTTCCAAGAAAAGGTCAGGATCGGTTGAAAGGAGGAAAAAAGCGAGCAGCATAAGGGTCGAAGAATTGACTTGCCGATCTATGCCCACCACGATCATAGATCATTCCATTGTAACAAAGAGGGTGTGTATACACATTATAAAAGGGGCATAATGGCACACCAATGTGTACACACAACGGGGACAGCGACGACACAGAATGTGCGGTGTTTGGTCTCCATTAATATTGGATCGACTGGATGGTTGCTGCAGGCCATCTCTTGTATCTCTCGCGCTTTTTTTATGGGGCCATATGTCTCGTATGTATCGCGTCCCGTAGCGGGCCGCTCATTTGTCAGCACGCAATCTGCCACTGTCGCGATTTGATGCTAGCAGTCAAAATACGTATACAAGTTTCCAGCTACCTGGCACTCCCCTTTTTTATGTTTTATTGTGAAAAATTGCTTAAATTTTAATTATGTACATAGGACATTTTTTTGATACGCAGAAACTTTAGCTTGGACAGCGATTTAGTTTCCATTTAAAATTTGTTTAAGTTAATTTTACAGTTTTTTATGAACTGTTTTAGCTTTAGATTAACTGTATGACGTAGTTTATAATGGTTGATTCTGCCCTTTTAGGAATTAGTTATACATTCGAGTACTTCCTAATAATACAAGTAATTTGTGACTACAGTTGTTGGTTAAATTATTGAAGTTCATATGAAAATTCATAGCTCAGACCTGGCTGAAATGGTTTTCATACTTGCATTCTGTTCAAGTACAGTTTTGATTGCAATATATATTTTTGTGCGAAAAATATATATAATTTGTGAATACAATTGTAATTTCATAGTAATTTGTCAAATTCTATTTTTACTTGAATTTATTAAAAACCCTTTCTGCTAGAACCTAACCTAAATCATTGTACAAAAGTTCAGAATCAAGATAAAAATAGCAGCAAATAAATAAGTAAAATATATCAAAAGTATCAAGAAAGTAAGGTTCTCGCATTATAATATCAATGGGCAACGGGTGATGATCGCATCACATTAACAGTGAAGCGTTCTATGAGCGACCACCACCGCCATTGGCCACGTTTGTACGCGCTTAGAACCCCAAAACGTATATATTACAGGGCTGGAAACGTCACCCTAACTGCGGTGCCATAGTGTAAAATAAACGATACCTAATTATACGCATCCCGTCTGCGTGAAAGTCGAAGTCCCTGCAGCAAGTGCGTGCAAAGATGGTCCCCGCTTAATGGGATTACGAAATTACAGTTTAGATTGATTGTCTGTACAATGCTGCCATTATACAAGCGATCAATGCATTTAAACGGAGGAACAAAATTAATCGTTATTTGAAAAATATTTTTTATCGAGGAATTTTTGATAATAATTCAAATCTCAAGGTTCCATCAATCTTGTGGGTTTTTGGCAACCGTTATGATATTTTATAGTTAATTAAATGAAATATATCTTCAAGTATAATCTTGTCAAGTTTTGTAAATTTTTAATATTATTGTATACAAGTTTTATACAAGTCTGATGAAACAATTCTTTACATTCTGATACTTTATGCAGACGTTGAAATTATTGTTTTATATTTAAAGAAATGACTTAGACGTAAAAACGAATAAAATGCAACTAAACGTATTGGGAATTGGATATTTTCTGCAATACGTGTAATGTTTTAACAATAATACACTCACAAGTTGATTTATTCGTTGTAAAGAATAATATTATACATAACCATAAGTACAAACTACGATTCTGCTTTTTAATTCAAATTGCTTTAAAGCCAAACTTTGATACAAGCATTTCAGAAAAAGAACGTCGAAATACATAACCTAAAAATTCGAATCGTTAAAGCAATTACAGAATCTATAATTGCTTCTACAGATTGTACACAGTAGTATTACGTTCCGCTACAAACCGGTTAAGCAAAAGTATCCCAATTTAATTAATAATTCAACAAAATCGAGCACAGAGATCGAAATTTTGTTTCCCGCGATCCGTGCTTCGTAATTTTCCGCGTAATCCAAACAGTTGCAATTTCGAGGAACGATAAATTTTTGTTATTCACCGCGTTCGTTTCCGATGTTGTCAATTCCGTTTAAAAATCTCGCTTCGCGTTGCCAG